GCTCTGCATTTTCTTCTCTGACAGTTCCCAGAGGACAGCAATGCTTTTATGCTTATCATATGCTGTCATTTTGTATTATATCTTTTCTTTGGAAGTAACTTCATAAATGACCAAAACAAAACATAATCCTAAACCCCAAAATCCAAACACCAAAGAAAGCTGAGGGGTGCTGCAGACATCACAAATGAATTACTGCTCCTTCAGCTGCTGACATGGAGTCAAAAGAAGCCATACCCCCCCTGCTTTGTAAGAGTGATCTGCCATAGAGTGGTGGTTACCGGTCACTAACATTACTTCCCTGGATTTCTGCTCTTTTTCTTCTCCAGACCCATGATGTGGTGAGGCCCTTGATAGAGGCTTTTGCTGCTGTATCAGCATTTGTGGCATTAGAAAAACTTGTGACAATAGAGCAAAACTTTGGATTCCACAACTGGATTGCTTAAAGACATAAATGACCAAGAACAACCCCAGTGCATAACTGTCCTATTCCTCCTCAATCAGTCCTCCCATGCCTGATTCATGCAGCAGTCACAGAGTGACAGCAAGTGTTAGTCTTGCATAAAGAACTGACAAATGATTTGCTCAATGCAGACTGGATGCATTCACACGTAATGGCTCAATGTGCTGGAATAATATTACAAGCACATTCTGTCCGATTTCATCTTCAGCTGAGTATAGTAACTCATTGAATATTGCAATACACTTGTCAGATTCAGAAACCTTTTTATTTTATTAGGTTTAATCCCCTGAACTCTGTTTTCCCCACAGGATTGTTTGGGAATGCCTTACACTAACAGAATCAAGAAAAAAAGTAGTATATACCAGGTATGTGAATGACTAATTCTGCCCTGTGATAAAAACAATGCCAAGGCTTTGGGGGGTTTCAGAATAATTCCACTTCTGTTAATACACGTTGTCTGAAGACATCATTGACTAGATTCTGGTGGAATAACCAAAATCAGGTGAATTATAGCTAGGGATATACCTCTCCCAAGCCCTGGGTTTTTCAAAGACATCTGCTCCCCACACACAGTCAATATATTTTGAGATGCAGAAGGCACCTTTTTTCATACATGGCTTTTAACATTTACACTGGGTTTATGATCCTGCAGTACCTCTGTGGCACAAGGCCACGGGTGCAAACGTGGGTGGAAAAGCTGTCAGCATAGCGGAAAAAATATTCTGCTGAAACTCAAAACTTGCAGAAACAGCTGAGTCACTCTTTTGCAGTTAAGGTAGTCTGGGCTTGTTACCCTCTTCTGTGCCTCTGGATGGTGCCTGGCACACACCCCCATTCTCTGACTGCCAGTGACTCCAGCACACCTCTAAGTAAGAAATGCCTGGGAAGTATCCAGCTGACTTTCCTCACACAGATGCATTCTGTCATCCATGCACAGGAGCTGAATGGATGCTGACTGTCCTGAACACCCAAAGCCCCTGGGTACATGCAGCAATGCAGGTAGATTTGCAGTGGCCAGTTCAAGCACATCAGCTCTACTCTGGTGTGCAAAACACACGCATCAATACTGCCAACTTGGAATCATAGAATCATAGAATAGTTAAGAGTTGGAAAGGACCTTAAGATCAGCTAGTTCCAACCCAGGGACACATCACACTAGACCATGTCACCGAAGGCTCTCTCCCACCAGGCCTTGAACATTGCCAGGGATGGAAAATTTACCACATCTTTGGACAACCTGTTCTAATTTGATCACAGCTCTCAAGGCAAACCTCCTGAGGATTAATGTTTTTTTTAGAATTTCATTATGTTAATGCTTTTTAATAAAACATCTCAGCTCAAGTGCACTAAGGAGACAAAAAACTGAAAGAAATCTTGTAGTTTATTGTTTTATTTTTTCCTTTTTGTCATCATCCTCTCCCCCCCCCCCGCCCTTTTTTTTTCTTCTTTTCTTTTTAAGTCTCCTGATTCTCCAGTCAGCATTACTGTCCTGGCTGGGAAGAGGGAGCTGCCTAGGAGCCATTTATTAGCACATAAAATTACTGAAATTGCAAAGGTCCAGAAGTCATAACTACCAACAGATTATAGACTCTACTGGTGCAGTAACACATGAAATCTGTAAAGCTCATTTTAAAAGGAACTCTTAGTACAGCCTATACATTTTGATCCCCAGAAAATATAATCTGGCTTGAAAATCTTTTGATCCTGTGACCTGCATTTTAACCAGAATGCAAGATTTTCCTGAAAACTTGTATTTGTGTTTCCAAGTCAAAAAAGTCTATACATAAACAGCCACTTAATTTGCATGTACAACAATGTGCCAGATTTTCAGCATGTAAGAATAATTTTCATAAGAACTGCTGCAACAATATATATAAATTAGCTGTACCATACACACACAACAAAGCAAATTCTGTCACTGGGGTTCGCCTGCTTGTGAGGCAAGTTTGCCACTGTAAAATGGCAATATCAGAAGGTAACTTTTGCATTTTAAGCCCCTTAACAACAAGCACACTCTGACAAATCTTCCATAAAATCTTATTTCCCAGTTTTAGATTATGTGCTAATGTGACAGTCGCTTGCTTGCACCCCTGTATTTCCTCCTCCAGTGGGAAGATATATTCCATAATTTACATCATAAAGCATGCCCAAGATGTACACATCCCCCAAGCTTGACTTGTTCCCTTACCCTACTCTCCCATCACACTGGAATTATGGGTGGGACACTTGTGATGGAAGAAATGCAGGGAAGAATTCCCCTATGTTTCAGAATTTTCCTGAAAATTTTCTTGTTCTCGTATTTCACAAACCCCAGCAGTGCTCCAGCAAGAGCACTTTGCTTTTCATGGGAAATTACTCTGACTGGGGCAAAATACACTTTTCTAAATAAACAGTTTGTGTTATATAGCATGAAGGCTAAAAGAAAAAAAAAAAACAAAGTAGCCTCAGCTACTTTCACTTTACCCAGTTCCTTTACTCAGGCCTATATCCTGCCTGCCATTGCCAAGCGCACACACTTACCCAAGCTTTGGCTGGATACCATCTCAAGTGCTTGGCCCTCTAAGAGCAGAAGTCAGACAATTTGTTCTCTTTTGGGCACTCTTTTCCTGGATTCCTCTCCTTGAATATTTGCTCTCAATCCAGTTAAATTTGATGCAAATTTTGCTACTGACTGAATCAAACTCTGAATATCCTCACTTCTACATCCTAACTGCAGCCTTTTTTATTCTCCCTTCTCTAACTTTCCCTCAGTATCACAGTTCCTTCCAAATGCATTCCTCCTAGTCTCCAACAGCCTTGTTTTTGCTTCTGCTCATTGGTGGCTGCCCATAGCTGGCCTGCAATGACCTGTACTGTAGCACCATGTGGACAAAGGGAAATCTGCTTTCTTCACATGTTTTACATGCACCACAGCACTGGAAATGGCATTGCCAGACTGATGGTAGAGTCTTGCTGTGCTCATTTACTCAGCCCTGTTTCCCCAGTTAGCAGAGTGCCTGAACAGTGAACAAACAGAGCTCGGATACCAACTGAGCTTCTATCACCATTAACTGCATGATTTGCACAGGGAAGAGCAGCCACATCAGTACATGAACTTTCTCCCTACTAGCAGCATATCCAAGAAAGAACACAACTAGGTGTCCTTCCAGTCAACCAGTCCCTCTGAGTCAACCAGTAATACTCAGTGAAACCAAAGAAGAAACACCTATAACCTGTACTGGGCATGGAGCAGCCATGTTGACAGAAGTATGTAAGCCTTCAAAAAACATTGCTCAGTTATAAGCACAAAATACAGGTACCAAACTACGTACTGTTCAGCTGAGCACTAAAATGTTTTCATTACTTGAAATCTCCTCTACTGAAAGGGGAAGCACAAATTTCACTTGATCGAATGAATACATTAGAACTCTCCCTCTCTCTGCCAGATGCTCATAAACTCTTGTAGGGATAATCCAGGTCACTGTAACACTGAGGAATATATCCAGCTACTGAAAAACAAGCACCAGTCAAGTTGAGAAACATCTGTCACTGTTTAAAATCCTAAGGAAACCTTCCATGTACAGATTAGCAAATTAAAGTTACAGTTATATTACTGATAGTTAAAAAATCAGATTTCCTACACTACTTGGTAATCAAATTACTAAGTAAATTACATGAACTAAATGAAAAATGTGAATTACATTCTTCACGTATTACCTAATGACATATATAGTGTTATGGGTCTTATGAAATTTCCACTTGGAATTTGCCTTAGCAAAGGCTGCCCTTTAAATTGGTTTTATCAACTCAGAATTCTTTATGTGATATTTGCAAATGTTATTGCTCACAATGCAAACATAAAGTGGCATACCTAGAGCTTTATTTATTTACATTACCAACATGTTCACTTGATGCTTTCATGTGGTAATCATATACTGACTTTTTCAAATAAATGTTGCCAATAGAGTTATTATATACATTCTTCACTTAGCAAGCCAAATAATAAAGTGCTATTCTTAAAACTACAGTCTAGGGAATTGAATCCTAGTTTTATTGCAGTCAATAGCAACCCCCCTAGCCTCCAGAAACAACTGGAATAAGCTAATTCTGCAACCAATAATGAGATAGGTCAAGAAATTTTTGGTATGAAAACTCTGGCAATCCCATTCTTTTGGTATTTAGCATGAGTTCCAGTAAACACAGGAGGGTTGCTGACTGGAATGAAGCAAGCAGCACTGGCACATAGCCTTCCAAATTTTATATTATTTTATGAGAACTCTAAATGCTAATTTGCACAATTATGAATCAACAACAGACACTCGTTTCAGCCTGACTCTGTCATCAGGGTTTTAACTGAACTGGCATGTCAATAAGAAGGTGAAAATAACTTAAAAAGTTAGTTAATATACATTCCCAATCCACCAAACTGAACTTGGTTCCACCAAAGCAAATGAAATCCCGATTTATAAATGTATAAATGACAACACAATGAAAGTAAAGTGTATATGTTACAGAGATGACTATAAGCTTGTGTATAATAACTAGAATATGTGATACTTACTGACCAACAGCAGATCTGGCATTCAGCCCTGATCTCACAGTTGCTGGTTTGGGTGTACTTAATGGTATTTGTTCACAGCACCTCCTCTCCCAGAGGGACTTCAATTTAAATCACATGGTGGATCCAATACATATCAGCAGCCTCAGATTTATTTGGTTCTTGAGACAAGTCTACAGCCAGATGCATTGGAAGATGTGGAGAATACCCAGAATGGGAAAACTGAGGTACAAAAGTTCCCTAGGATTCAAGAAAGTTCTGAAACCTTTTGAAGGTTACTCATCCATGACTTTGCTGACTCCAATGGGATCTTGCCATACAAAGTTGTGCAAATGCCTGCAGTGGGGTTAATTCCTAAATGTAGCTCTTTATTTTAAATGTAAAAAATTACAAATCATAAAACCCTGCTCAGAAAAGGTGCTGTGCTAATCCCTCTCTACGGTCACATGCTACTGACTCTCAGTGAAGCTGCACTCAGAAGAGCGCCCATTGCTGCCTGCTACCAAGCATCCTCACATTTCAAAGGAAAAGTTCTCAATCTAACAAAGGAAGGACTAATGCCTAAAACTAGGGGAGGTCTTGATTCTGTCAACTAGGAACTGTTGCTGAAATACAAGCTGCCCTGAGCTGCACAGTAAATACAGCCAGTGCAGGCCAGAGCCAGCTTCCTCTGCATGGGCCCAATCCTGTTCCCACTAAAGTCAGTGGCAGAACTCCAAGCTGTTTAATGGGAACTGCAGCAAGCTTTCTATCTACCTAATATAAATGAAGATACGCATCTCCTCTTTGACATATTTTGGGCTCAAAGCCATTGGCTGACACTTGTTTGGTTCTCTGCATGTATGTGACTCATGGGATAATATAATGCCTGATTCCCATTCTGCCAGACCTGTCTTTCTCCATGGTTAACTATTAATTTCAGAGGCAAGATGCAATACTGCAGTAAAATAGGATGCTGTTAAACTAGGAAAATTGCACTTTAATATTCAGAGTAAATGAATTGGATCCCCTTTTGTGAGGATTCCCTTCCAGTTAAAGAGCTATATCCACAAACTCCTTAAGACACCAGCTCATTGCTCTTCCATAGAGATGGAGTTTGTGGAAGTCTCTAGCAAAGTACTTGGCAGGCAAGGTAATGTAAACATGCTGGCTTTACCCTGCCAGAACGGCTTGAGGAGAAACATGATAATGCAAATGACATAAAACAGTCTGTGTTCCAAACAGTTGATTGTTTCAGACTACCTACACAGAACTGGGTAACTGGATATACAGGTGTTCAATAAAGAATAAGCATACACTGATTTTCCGGCAAAGCTGTATTCAGGATAAGGGCAAACTTTCCCTATTTGAGTGCATAGCCTAAGTTTGAGATGCTAAGTAGTACCATTAAAACAAACAAACAAAGCCAAACTAAACAAAAAACCAAAACACTAATAATATAATATGGGCTGAAAGGAATTACCTGAGCAGACTAATTCTCCTGAAGTTTCTTGTGATATGCTTATTATTACTAAGTGCTGTCTCGGCTTTAAAATGCAGTTACCTCAGAGGTAATACAATATTTTCAGATCAGTTTCATATCACCCTTTCAATCACATATCACATTTTCAATCAGTTTCGTATCACAGTGAAACACAGATATTTCCATGCAAGGTGTGTGTTTGTATGTGATTTCACTTTTAGAAACACAGATTTCATTACAGGGAAACAAAGAGATACCCAGAATCAGAGATGTCAATGTATAAAACATTATATTTTACTTTGTCTGTTATACCAAGAGACGGCAGTGGGCCTGCCTTTACCCAGTTAGACATCTGCCATTCTTTTTACCATTGACTTGGATTTGACCCAGTTCAATCAGAAAATTCCAACCAGTAAGCACAAAGCACTGTGAAGCACCTGCTTTCTCCTAAAAAGAAAAATACCTTCCACTGGTCCCTTTCAGTGTGGAAATTCATGTGAAGCACTCCGAGACCTGTGCTGATCCTCCAAACCCCTGCAGCAGGTGGATGAGACACAAAATCTCCTTAGAGGCAAACAGCCTGTTGCAGTGGAAAAAGAAAATTAAATCACAGAGAAATCTTGACATTCCTCCACCACCCCCAACCTGCTGCAGGACTGCTACGGTTGTGAGCAATCCCTCAACTCTGTACACAGTGCTGGCAGAGAACTACTCCCTTCCACCCCAACATGTGATTACTCGCTTGGCCTCTCAGTCACTGCCCACCTGCATGTCTCACCCCTCTGTGTCCCCAGCCTCATGTCTGGGGCTGGTGAGGGGTGGAGAAGGAAAGACTGCAGAGGCACACTTGTGTGGCAGGGCGGGCAGTGGCTGGCAGCATCGCAGGACTGCTGTGTGTAAAAGGAACAGGCTTGGTGGGAAACTCAAAAAGCCACCCCGCAGTCCTGCAGACAAATGCTGCTGAGTGTACACACACCCACAGCACCCCGCCCAGCACTGGAGCTGCTCTGGCCTTTGCCTAAGCCAGAACAGCCTTGGTGCAGGCTGTGTGCGGGTGGAGAGACGAGTGGCAATGCCACATGCAAGGCCAGCCCCTGCCCACAGTGCTGCCGCACTTACCTGCTGCATCCATGGCATGCTGAAGCAGTGCAGACTGCTTGCCATACACTTCTGCAGCAGCATGGACTGGCAGCTGTTTTCACATGAACATGCTGGACAAGATGATTGATTCCCAGAGGTCCCTTCCAGATCAATCTGTCCTGCAGTATTTGGAGTAGACAGTGCATAAAAATCCTTTCCATTTAATGCATGCCTGAAACAGGCATAGCATGGGGTAACACATGAGACTGGAGTGCTGCAGTACTGCTCACACTCACCCTGGTGTTAAAGCAAACATCCCTGAACATGCTGCAGTGAGAACTGGGCAACGGGACTTGTTGAAGGCTCAGCCATGTGCTGGGGTGAGCATTTAGATTGAGAGGAAGAGACAGTGCAAAGCTGCAGCTGTGGAAGGGTGGGAGGGGGGTGCCAAATCAAAACGCAGGCTGCAAAGAGCACAGAGCCTGCAAAGAGCACTGTGCTGTCAGAACTGTTCTGTCTAGGTCTTGGCTGTGGGCCTTGATGAAGGCTCATCCTACAGTTAGGATTAGGATTAGGGAATGCTGTTCATTTTGGCACTGTGTTTAAGGCAAGTGTTTCTAAACACTTTTCTGCTATCAATAATTTACCCTTTGTAGTATTCTGGGGCTTGCTGTGTTTATACAACTATTGAAACACCTTTGTGGCAGATAGGTGAGCCTAATTCTGAATCACAAAATGGTTGATTCTTCTGCCACCAAAGACCTGTTTAATCCACGGTTCATTTAAATTAATGGAAAAATCTGCTTTGTCCAAGGCCATAAAAGATTTGCTGAAACCACACACACACGGTGAGTCATAGTTCAGAACATAACTCAAAACGACCAGGGCTGTATTCCCATGCTCTAACCACTAGATTACAGTCCCTCCCACATATACCCTGCAATAATCTTTGCTCAAATGATAACAGCATTTCCCCACTTTACACGTTGGACAGCATTACTCAGTAAGGCACATCATACCTGAAGGGAGTAGAGCTCTGCAGGGCCAGGGGAGGAAGGAAGCACAAGTAAAAGTCATTATTTTTGCCCAATACCACTGGAACTTAACTATTCCTATGGAAAACTGCCAGAAATTTACACCTAAATGAAAAATAAAGATTTTCATCCGGTCCTGCACGTATGTTTTAACACCCGGACCAGCGAGTGCTCGCAGACCATCACGGTGGACTGCGGAGGGCAGCCTCACCTTTCCTGCACTCGGCACACCGGCATGAACCCTGCGTCCAGAGGAGGCAGTGCCCCTCGGCACCCTCAGAGCTTCCCCATCGATGTAGTGCCGGTGCGGCCGCCAGCGCGGCGCACGCCCGGCTGCACCCGAGGCGCTTCAGGAGTCCCTGTGAGGACACTGCCTCATGGCCGGGCATCACCGGGCGGGCGCCGGTGAGGCCAGGGCTGCCCCTTCGGGGTGCTCCACACGCCATGGCGGCGGCGGGGCTGAGCTCAGCTCTCCCGGGAACAGTGAGAACACAGCCGCGGCTGGAGCTGAGGGGGTCCGAGCGGCTTCTCTTCACACACCTGTGGCGCAGCTGCCGCCCAGGCGCCCACCCGCCACACAGGTAGTGCCCAGGCCCGCAGCCCGCAGAGCGGAGGCCGAGAGGTGACCGTCACCTCAGGGACCCTTGCCCGCCGTCGGGCCTGCGCAGGACGGGGCCGGCACCTGTAGAGCCCCCGGGCCCCTTAGGGCACCGGGCGTTGTCTCAGGGCCCGACTCGGCCGCGGCGAAGCCTCCCAGGGGTGGGGACGGCCCGGGCCGCGTCTCTCCAGGAAGGGCCGGGCAGCGGCAGCGCTGCCGGGAGAGTGGAGCGGGGTCTCCCCGAGACGTGCCCCGACAGCACTGCCGAGAGCCCCGCGGCCAGGACCCGGGCCGCCGGGATCGTGTCACCGGGGAGGCGCCCCCGGCCCAGGGAGGGGCGGTGTGAGGACGAGCGGAGGTGGCTCTGTACGGCTGTGCATCTGGCACCGCAAGCACCAGGGAAGCTGCCGTTTCCTTAAAGACAACAGTGTGTTTATTGCTTGGGGAGGGTGTGGGGTGGTGGGAAGAGAGGGAGGTGCGCTCCAAAAAAGGCACTGCTGCTGGGCAGGGAGAAGGGGGTCTGGAGGAAGAGGAGGGCATCACACTCCTGCTGCAGAGGAAGAACTGGAAACACACCGAGAGGCAGGTGGTTATGGTAGAATATATGCTGTTTATTTATGAACATAACCAGGACTTCTGACACACTTTATATGCAGCTTCCCCCCCCCCAAATTAAAAAAAAAAAAACAAAAAAAAAACAAAACACCAATGTGTGTGCATATACATACATGTATACATACCCATACACACACCACACACAACCCCCCAGCACTGCGCTTCTGCTGTCACACTTAGGAACAGCTTCACATCCCCATCGTGGTCTCTTCTCCCATCACAACTACTTCAACCAGACAAACTCCTGTGCAGCAATGACAGGAGAATCACTCAGCATTGCTGCCAGTGCTCCCTCGAAGGGGGCCTGTTGGTTTGTTTGTCTTTCTCTCACACTGGGAGAAACTCCAGAGTCCAAAGGTGCTGCAGCACCAGCGACAAGCCTCCCGGCCCCATTGTAGCCTCATGGCCTGCATCCCCCTAGGCACCCTGCCTTGGGGCCAGGAGGCAGCCGCCAGCCCAGGAAGGCGACACACACTCACACTCACCCTCCCACACAAATAATAAAATAACATTGCAGCACAAGGGCATAGTCTCTGTCACCAGATAAGAAAGTCGTGTGATGGCAAAGATCTAAGTAATGCAATAAAAATAAAGTGTAGCTAGTATACACGGAAAGGCTTTCACATTACATGAGGCACAGCTTGGACAGACAGAGACTCAGAAAGGAGCTAAATGTCATGGAATAAAGCAAAATACACTTAAAAGTCCTTAGTAAATACCCGCATCGATAGGTATTTATTCATTTGTGCTTCGCCACGTCGTGACATACAGTACAAGACACTCCTGCTCTTCCTTTTGATGGCGGGAGCCCAGCACATTCCCTGCAGGCTGCTGCTGCATCAGTCCCAGGCCATCCATCGGTCCTGCAGTGGTGGTGGCCCCTGTCCTACTCCCAGCCAAGGCAGGGGACAGGGGTCAGTTGAGGCAGCCCAGCCAGGCTGGGGCAGTCCTGACAGCCCTCCTGCAGCTGCCCCACACCTCAGTGCTCCAAACGGGCATCCAGCGCTGAAGGTCTCTCAGCCCTCTTCTTGCTGGCCTCCCCGCAGCCACCCTTGCCTGCTGCACTGCAAGCTAGCTCAGGGCACCCCACAAGCATCCCCAGGTGCCCTGTTCCTCAAGCCTGCATGTCCCTCACCCTTTTCCCTTGCACGCCGCCAGGCCAGGGGGGGAACAGAAAGCCCCAAAGCTCCTGCAGCTAGCTTTTAAGGCACATCTGGATTCCTATGCGTGCTTTATTACTACTATTATGATTTACCCTGTGTAGACACGTGGGCTTTTTAATTCTTTCCTTCCCCTCCTCATTCTCCTTAGAAAACCCACCATGTTTTCAGCTTATTCATGTGTCATCCTTAAGGCACAAACCTTTTAATACTACAGCTGCCTGGCTTCTCGTATTAGTTGTTAATTGTTAAAAAAAACCCAAACCCCAAACAAAACAAACCCCAAACAAAACAAAAC